TGCTGAAACTTTCTACCCACCAGTAACCTTTCCATCTTCAGCTTCACCAAAGCTGTTTTCAGCCTTTCGCTTCCACAGAGCAGAAAGGCAGCAAAAGGTGCTGATGTACATCGTCCCCGGCAGAAAATGGGGAGATGGGTACTGAGACGAGATCACATGAAATAGAGAGTCACGGTGCGGCTGGATCTGTGCCTTGCAGGGGTCACTGAAGGACTGTAGCAGTGTTATATGGAGGTAACAGGGATTTCAGCCTTCACCTGGAGTTTTGCACATGGATTAGGGGCAGGTTACTTATGCAGATGTACTTGTCCAATTAATATAATCCCATGTAAACCCATGGATTTTGGCAGGAATTCCACCTGAACAATGACTGCGGTATCCAGCCCTATATGGGTTGTAACGTTACGACTAACCGAAATCCCAGCAGCTGTTGTTTTGCTTGTTTGCTCTTGTGAGGGTAGCGGTGTTTCCGCATAGAGTCACATATGCAGATCCCTGGCTCCTGGAGGCAGTAATTTCTTTCAGCAACTTAATTTATTTTTGGAGGATGTTTGCGGTCTTTACGTCTTCAGCTCTTCTCATGTCGATAATCCGTGCGTATGTGCAAGAGAGATTATGAGGAAGGGGAGCCCCCTGGGCAGCCCTTAGACTCTTTTGCGTTTATGGATGAAGGATGTGGCAGCAAAACACACGCTCTGCCCAGCAGCCACTGGGAAAGAAAAACCACCCATGCTGGGAGAGCTTAACCACAGCACATGGATCTAGGAGCAGACTCATCCCAAATAAGCCTGAATCAAAATGGTGCTACCCAGCGCGAGAAGGATACATTGCATTCAACAAAAGATTTTAAAGTGCAGGTTGTTTAATTAAAGGGGACGGGGACAGAAGGGAATACTATGCGGTAGTGCTGGAGAGCAGCAGAGATTTCTCCTCAGGACTTTCACAAAGACTTGGTTATGGGCTGAAGTGATGCTTGAGGTCTTATCAAGGTCTTAACAAACTTTCAGATATGGATGAATCGTATGCTGAGAGCCAAAAACCTAAGCAAAGCTCGATGCAAATAGAGTATTATGGATCCTGTAGCCTAGACAAGACATTTACAGAAATGATCTGCAGATGATGCGTAGTAGGAGGTGGCAGAGTGAACCCTTCTGCTGAGTCTTCAGCCACCCCACTAACACTCTGTATGCATGGAGAAGATCCACACAAAAAGAGAAGTTGCACTTTGCAGCTTGAGCTGCCTGGGTTTGTATTTACTTATTCCTTTTTTTCATGGCTGGCCTCACACACAGTTTCCACACCGCCCTGTCCCGCCGCCGCTACAGGGTGGGGACTGATGCTCGTTGGCCCCTTCCCCCCGCAGCACTGGCTCCGAGCAGAAGCTCAGCCTTTGAAGTGACAGAGTGTTCCAGCCTTCATGCGAACCTTACGGGTCTTCTTCCACCAGAGCACAGCCTCAGGCTTGAGGGGCTCATGGCAAGACTCTGCCATCACCGATCCCTTCACAGGACTGATCTCCTCGTGGGTTTTTTTTGTTTGTTTTGAGTTATTGCTTCATTCCCTTTCTTTTAGACATTTAAGTCTTTGCTTACTCTTCAGGGCAGAGTAAAATTCTCATCTCTGAGAAGAGAGCGGTTTTTTGTGGGTTATGGTTTTTTGGGTGTCGTTTTTTTTTTTTAAACTGGGATAGCATTAGATTTGAATTTGATGTATTTCCAGCCAGCAGCTATAAGAACTTCATGAATAAATGTGTAGAAAATGGACTGTGCTATCAAGGTAAATCAGCCTGGGTGGGTGCTTAAGTATCGACCAAATGGAACTGTGTAGAAGGAGTAATTCTGAGTATATGGTGCTGCATGCAGTGAAGCAGGAAAAGATTTTTGGAGATGCAGACTTGTGCCCAAGCTCGGGTTCATTAACTCAGCACTGTGCTGGGCAGCAGGGCAAGCCTGGTAGACTTATCCTTGGGCTCCTTTCGGGTGCATGAAGCAGGCTCTGGCCAGATAAGCTGGGTGTGAACTTGTAACGTGTCAGCCCCTTGTCGGTGTGTGCCCTCTTATCACGCAGCGAAGGCAGAGGACCGTGCCTCTATTCCTTCGAGCTGGTCCTTCTTGCCCACAGCCAGGCGAGGGCACGGCGGAGAAGGGAAGGAGGAAGGCAGAGCTGCGAGCTGGTGTGACTCAGCTGTCAACACTCACCTACAGAGCAGAAGGACATGGATTCAAGGCTCTATATTTAACCGGGATGGCAGGCTGTGGGTGAGCTCTGCTGCCCTGGTGAGCTGCCAATCCCTCATCAGCGGGTTCAAGGCGATGTGTGAGCAGCTGTGTTTGCCGTGGGCATACACCGATCGCTGCGTTTGGGTTCCAGCCCTAGTTCTCATTTGCAGACCCCAAGAGAGAGCCATTTCTCGTTAATTCTGTGGCAAATATCACAGAGCTGTGATAGGGGAGATGGCAAAGTCCTGTCAGCCTGGCTGCTTTGCTAGACAGTGGCTACCTGAAAGAAGTTAAGTGCAATGATTATGGTTCTGGAATCGCATCCTCATCTGAGATACTTTGTTAGCAATAACCTCAGAAAACAGCCAGAACTAAAAGGCTCTGCACTTGCTATAAGATAGAGCTGACGTCCGAAATTGCTCTGAGTGTTTCAGCAGAAAATAAGTGCTCGGTCAGATATGCACGTGCATCCTCTCTCGGCTGTGTGCCACAGCACTTATGTAATAGACACCCTGCAGATAAAACCACTTATTTGAAACAGGATATTTTGCAGTAAATTAAGCTAAATCTAGATCTCCACCAGATGTCAGCAAAGCAAAGTGCATTTTCGCAGGAGTGCAAAGGCAGAGGGCACCAGGAGGCTGATAGTGACTCCGTTTCCCCCAGACAGAGCCGGCCAGGTCCAGGTCCTCCATCTCCCATCTGCTGCCAACCTTCATTAAAGATCTCTGGTGGGGGGACAAGCAGCCACCCCAGCACTTCATTTCCTGTGACTAACCTTTCTGCCTCCATTTGAAGCCCATGCTTTGTTAAGACCCATTCATTTACTTCCTACAGGGCTTGGTGGTTTAAACGATGCTGCTTCAGTTTAAATTTCTCACCCTTTCTTCTGCTGGTACTTTGAAATATTTGTTATTAAGATGGAACAAGATTGGGACTGATGTTTTCATTAGAGCTGCCAGGATAAATACGATGCCTTTCTTGTGAAATTATTTTGTTTGGTAAATGTGATCTTAAGTTAAAGTGAGGAAATAGTTAAAATGTCTCTAAGCCTAACAAGGTAACTGCCTGAGTTTGCCTTTCAGTGCTGCAGCTCGCTTTTTTCCCCTAAACCTTTGCACAAAAGCTACTGAAAATGTCCTTGGTACAGTTATAGCACCTTGATTCCAAACATTAACTCTTTGTAACCAAAAAGTTGTAATAAATTGCTTCATAACTGCAAGGGTTGTTCTCATCAGTAGCTCTCACCTGTGTTTAACCTGAGGGAGAAACTGTTGCAGACCATGAATTTCCTGAGTTTTGCATTTCTTCCCTTACCTGCAAAGCAGCTGGACTGTCAGGAATTATTTTTTTAAGATCTTCAAAAGGATAACACTATTAATCAAATATTTTGCTTTTTTTTTTTTAATCTTATATTTAATGGTGATGCTCAAGAGCTCCACACTGTGATCATGCAGGATAGATTTCAGCTGCAGATGTTTTATAACACCCAGTACTCTAACAAAGTTTTTCTTATCTCTAGCGTGTTTTCAGTTTCTTAAGAATCGCTATGGCTTCCAAAATATTTTGTGATGACTTGTTTTCTTCCCAGATATATCTCAAGGTAGCGGCAGTGTACATTGTTTTTCCAATCCAAGCTACCACACTCTCTCATGTGGTGTGACCTCACGCTTCTTTACCAGTAATCTGGATGGAAACAGCTCCAGTAAGGTAGATATTATCCCACCCTGCTGTAGCAATGTTCTTATCAGTTCAAGGAAATCAACCAGAGCAATGCCTGTTGGATCCTGTTGTCTGCCAGCATTATTTAAAAATCCGGCGTAGCCCTTCCTGACAGCATAGCTCTAACAGCCACAGAAAGGGCTGCTCTCCCCCGTGTGTGTGTCCATCATCGCCACGCGGTGACGGGAGGTTCAGCACACGCCCGTCTGGGTCAGGAAGGCTCGGTGTCTTAGCAACTCTAAGGTATGTTTGCTTCTCAGGAAAGGTAAAGAACTGGATAGTTGGAATTACCCATTAATATAACAAAAGTAAATTAGTGAAGCGTTACGTCAGTAATCTTACTTTGCTATATCATTATTTCCCAGGTCAGCAGACGCACAAATTTCCTACTGACACAGACAAGCAGATAGATGCAAGAAGATATCTCAGGTGCTTCTGAGCACTGCTCTGGTCCAGGGGCATTCTGAGGGCTCTGCTGTCACTTATAGCTCTCCAGCAGAGCTATTCAGACTGTATTGCTTGGACATCCGGGAGTATCTTCGTTATCACATGTTACTATCGATTCCCCGGGACCATTCATGGACACCACTGTAGCAACAGATTTAGATGTGGTAAATGCCAACCCAGCTCTTCCTTCAGAGCCTTAATAAGTCAAGGTGGGGCAAAGGAAAAAGGAAGGGTGATTGAATTCTTCAGGGTTGTCAGCTTTAAAAGTGATCATGGAATCATAGAATGAGGGTTGGAAGGGACCTCTAGAGATCCCC